TCTTTCTAAGACCTGAAATATAATGAGTTTATAATCTTGGAATAGTCTATTCAAAGATCTGATAAGATACAGATGCACTTTCCTTTGCAGGACAACAGAAGTAGAAGGGGAAAAAAGTACTGAATGAACACCTACTAAACATATGAGCTGGAGATAAAACTTGGAATTCATCAAAATACAGACAGAAATGAAGTCAATGCTGTCGATGGGCTCACCTTGGAAGAAACAGCAAAGAGAGAAGAGTCCAGGAACTTAGCTGTAAGGGACTTTGGGATCAAGAAAAAGACAAGTTTGAAAGGTGATTGAAGAGGAGTCAGAGATGTAGGAAGAAAACTGGGAGAGGGTGAAGTTCTGGAACACCAAAGAGAGATTGTTAAAATGTCAGGAAGGAGTGATCCCTGGTGTCATCGGTGCTCAGAGCTCAAGGAAGTGACTAGAAAACACCATAGGAACTTATCCAAATGGAGGACACTGAGTGTCATGAAATGCCTTGGGCTAATGGTGATGGAATTCAAATTGGAGTGGTCAAGGGAGGAGTACATCATCAGGACAGTGAGAAGAAGAGTATAGGCCATGTTCTGCCTACACCTGAGAAATTCAGTAAGGTTCCTGGAAGGGGGTATGGAGTCAAGAGGCATGGAAAACGCTGGCATTGAAATCCAGTCTGACTCTAACACTAGATTCTATAAATTGCTACTCTATGCTGCTGCTTTCCCACTCATCCATAAATCCTCCTTTTTTTGCTTTCAGTTAAAACTATTCCTATGAGGACTATCTACAGAAGAAAATTTGGAAAGTTTTGAACTAACACCACAGATCTAATGATGCCCTAGGTTTCTGGTGAACTTTGGGATCTTCAAAGATGAACATTTCTATGATCTACTTTCATGTTCAGAATACATATAAAATGAATAGAGTGGTTGAGGAAACTGAGTCACAGAGACATTTATGACAGATTGGGTACAAGAACCCAAGACTTCTAATTCCCAGCCTGATGTCCTGACTGTTCCACCACATTTTCCACAGGTAGGCAGGCAGGTTATGGAGGACTGACATATGATGCTGACATTTAACCTAGAATAGCCACCACCAAAACCTCTTTTATTCATTACAGTATCAGAAGTAGTAGCAGCTGTTGTCACTGTCACTGTAGAGTTTACAAAATCCTGTCAACAGACTACTAACTAAACATAAAGAGAATTCTCAAGGTTTGTTCTCTCATAGCTACTTTCCTTCCTTTGATGAGGACATTGAGGTTCTCATACAATGCATATTTTAGCTGAGATTGGAATCCAGACCTCCAAACTCCAAATCCAGTGGTATTGACTTAGGGTTTATAAAATCTCTTTGAAAAGCTGAGGAAAGTTATGACTCCTGTTCACAAGAATAGAGGTGTAAGTATGAAACTGTACACAATGAAGGGGTTCACTGATGATCTCAACTTAGGAACCCTGCTCCAGGATGTGTGGGCTCTGAGTCAACTCAAGTGCTAGCTGGTGAGGCAGCTAGATGGGACCCTGTGGGTGCTGAAGTCATAAGGAGACTCCTCTTCCAGAAAATGCTTGTGAAGCTTTTCTCAAACTCCCTGTCAGCATCAATCTCCTCTACATGGCAAGAGCTCAGTGCTTAGATTCTGGGACAGCAGATATGCTGTTCTGCTCCAGACAGATAACACTTCCCCAAAGAGAATGCAAGCCCCTTGATGGAATGGAAGCATCTGACTTACGTAACTGTGACAAACTATCATCACTAACATTTAAAACTCAATTCCTCCTGCATCTCTACACTTCATTGTCACTATGAGTCAGGCACTACTGGATTTTATTAATTTTCTCAATAGACTTATGAGGTGTTTACTATCAGTGTACAAAGGCACAGAGAGGCTACACAGCTATAAATGGGTGAACATGAGACATTTGCAATTTGGTTTCAGAGTTTGTGATGTTGCCCTCTACCATGGGCTGCCCTTTGATCATGGGCTGCTAAACAGGGGTTTCTCTGCTAATATTATAAAATTCTTTTCGTAGAAGTCCAACAACTAAGAATTATTGTCATAAAAAGTAAAAAAAAGGCCCCCTGTGGTAGTGCAGCAGGTTAAAGCACAGCACTAAGACGCTAAAGCCACTTCAGCATGAGTTCGATCCCCGCCCCAGAGGTGACCCACATGGTGCGGCAGACCTCTCCTGACTGGCCTGCTGCTCCCCTCAGCAGTGTACTTCATTGGCCAGCCTGTTCTGCTCCTCAATCTCTCTGGTGAATCCTCTCACCGCACCTGCACCTCTGGGCTGTACCCCAGTTCTATGTGTATAAATAATAAATCTTTAAAAAAAAAAGTAAAAAAAAAAGATGGATTTCATTTTGCAATAATTTAAGATTTACATAAAAATTGCAAAATCGTAGGCTGCTCTTCTGCTCATCATTTAGGCAGTGAATGTGGATGTTGTGGTCCCGGGTATATTCTACAATCATACATTGTTTTTGTAGTAGTATCTCCTTCGTCTCCAGCGATCTTGTACAGCTTTTTAATAAGTCTTTAAACCTTTTTAAGCATAACCTTCTTTTCAAGAATACTGGCTATGATTTTATAGGATGTCCCTTCATTTGGGTTTGTCTGTCATTTTCTTATGTTGACATGGAGGTCATGCATTTTTGGCAAGAACATCACAGAAATGATGCTGTGCCCTGCCAGTGCTACATAAAAGGAGGCACGTGATGCTGACATAGTTCATTGCCAATTCTGTTAGCTTTGATCACTGGCTAAGGTGTTGCCAGCTAGATTTCTCCACTGGGAAGCAACTATTTTCCCTTTTATATTAATAAGTGTCTTGTAGTGAGATACTCTGGGACTCTGTAAGAGTCCTGTTTCACATCACACTCTCCCTTACTGCTTCAACATGTGCTGATGATTCTTGCTTGCAACAATTACTGCAGTAGTGTTTGCCTAATGATGGTTTTCAATTTTCAGTATTGCTTCTATGTTTATTAATAAGTCCTATCATCCTTTCCATAGATAGGAAGATCTGTCCTCTCTTCCTCACTTATTTATTTCTTCAATTATTTATCGTAGCAGTCATGGATTAATCTTATTCTATCACATTTATTCTGTTGATCAAGTTGTTCATGGAACAATTCCTTTTTGAATACCTCTGTACTTTCTGGCACCACAAAATATTCATATAATTTTTTTCTGCTTGGGCCACAAAATTGACCATTTCTGACCATTTACATTGAGGAGGAATGAGAATGAGAATGAGAAGGATATTTAGAAACCACAATCTGGATTGTGTATACTTTGCTTCTAGGGCATCACTGCTTCTAGGCCCTCTTGGAAGAGAAAGTTAGGTGGTATATGCATGTATTTTCACACATGAATATATCTATCTGTATTTCTATTTGTAGACAGCCATACATAGATTAAAAAATCAATTGTTACTGATACCTCTGATTCCACTCAGTGTATGAAAATTCATTCTAACTTCTTTTCCCTATGTCGGGGTAACAAAGAAATCATCCTGTAGCCCTCTGGGTTCTTCTGGGCTAGCAACTTATTAAGCAAACATAGGCAGATAGATAAGAGAAAAAAAAACACACAAAACTAGAGTTTAATAACAGCATGTATGCCTGATTCATACTAGGGAAAGACCCAACATAAATTAGTAACTTAGTTACATGGCTTCAACCATTATCTTAAATATTTTAGCACCACAGAAGAGTCTGAAGTAGAAAGGGGAAGTTCAGTTAAGAAGTTACTGGGGGAAGGAACAGCAAAAAACAACATACTTAGTTCTGTCCTCTCCATTGGAGAAACATAGGGAGGCCTTCACAGGGAGAAATTTATGCATAAATATTAAAAACATCCTCCATCCAGTGTTCAGAACCCCTTTCTTGAACTAAAACTTTTAATAAAAAGACATAACTTGAAGACTTTTCCTCCCTTACACCTATTTGTGAGAAACCTGGCTCTCTCTATCTAATCTACATCTATAAATCTACCTCTGTCCATTTATATGCCCAGTTGTAGTATACACATGAAAACTTTTTTGAATAGCTAATCCATATATCAATGAAAACCAAATTAATTACAATATTTAGGTGCAGTTATTTTTCCTTTAACCACACAGCATACTGTCAAAAGTTTTTCCCAAACATAGGTTAATTCTTTTCTTTCTCAAACCCTCTTCCATGTGACTATGCTATTATATTTTTCAGTATTAATACAATAGGCTCACCTTCACTGCAAACACATATCTTGGTATTTATGGATGCATGCTGTGTTTTTACAGTACATATATATGTCTGTATAAATCTAATCATCTATCTATATTGTGGAAAGTTTTAGGAGCAGGATTATGTGCTAACCTATAGTCAGAAAATGATGGGTTTCCCCTACTACATTGTTGTCTTTTTTCCACGTCTCTTATTCCATTCCATTCCTCTATAGGTAACAGGTCTCACTAGCCTCATGGTTTAACTTTCCTGTGTGTGTGTGTGTTTTTTTTTTTGCAAATGAGTATATACCCATATTGTCTTGCATGGCCTCCTTTTTATGAAAACACATATATTATAAACACTTGTTCATGTTCTACTTTCTTCACTTAACAATAGCTTTTGAAAATCATTTGCTGTCCATTGTTATGCACAGCATTACTGGTAGAAAGACCAGTGTAAAGACGTTGAATAACTTGCCCAAGATTACATACCCAGTATGGAACAAAGCTGGACTTGAACCCAAGACGTTTTGACTCCAGCCTTCATGTTCTTTCTGCATCTGAGCTTCTGATCTACAGCTCCTGACATTTTCTTGGGGGATCTTTATGTTCTTTGCATTTTCATGTTGTTTTGAAAACTAATACATGTATGTTCTGAATTATCTGGATGACTGTCTCATACAAGTACTGCCAGGCCTTTTATTGCCTGAAGAAACTAAAAATGATGCAGCTGCCTACTGAATGTCTCAACCAGCATTGCACGTGGAACATAGGGACACAGAGAACAGTTACCTGGCTGTGGCTTTGGCCTGGAGTTCAGGAAAGGCAGCGTGGCCCTGTACCATGTGGTCTATCTGTAAAACAAAAGAGGGAGGGATCAATCGCACAGCTTCTCTGTTCTCTATGTAAACCAGAGAATGAATATTAAAATGCCATTTCATCCAACTCTGTCTACACAGGATCTAAGAATGCAAAAATGCTAACGCAGCAAGACTTTCTCACTTTGCTGAATCTAGTGGCAGTACTAGGTTGGATTTGTAAAACAAAGATGTTTAAAGAGAAGAGTAGCAGGAAATGAAACTCACAAAGCTGAACTGGTGGCAGCAGGTAACATCAAGAATGAGGTCTGAGGGGAGGAGTACGAAGAAAAGGTAACTCAAGGAAAATGGAGAACCTATGTGGTAACCTCTGGATCACACTGTTTTCCCTGTCCTGATCTAAATTATTATTCCAAGGCAAAGTCTAACCTTGATAATGGAAAAGTTGAGTGAAAGAGACTATGGAGGAGGAGGTCCCAGTTCAAAAAGGAAAAAAAAAGAAACGGTTGCTAACAGAAAAAGCTCCCCAACTAAAATTATCTGGGCAACTGAGACATAGCCCTTCAAGGACAGAGATGTCTACTCTCTGCAGACAACCATCTTCTCTGAAATCTCACTTCTAGGATTTATCCCTTAATCCATTTGGTGGCGCTAAGTAAAACTGTATGCAATATACATCAGGGAGATAAAATGCTTTCCCATGCTGCTACTCTGCTTGCTGAAACACAAACCAAAACTGCTGGAATCCCTGAATTTCATCAGTGTATTTTCCCCAGTGTCTACAGGAGTCACTAGTACTCCAAAATAACCACTACGAACACTTTATTTTCATTCAAACTATGAACAGACTGGTTATTTTGGTGTGGAGACAGTTTCTCTGAGCATGTTTCCTGAAAGTCAGGGTTATATAAAGAGAAAGAAGTTTCTCAAGGAGCCATCAAGGCTGGGGTTGGATTCTGGCTCCCTCATGGATTACCTGTGTGACTTTAGGCAAGTCACTTAACTACTTTGAGCCTCAATAACCCTCCTCTTAAAACAGGATTGCTAGTGGTATAGGAACAATGGGAGAAAAATTCAAACCAGTGATGGACACTCAGAGCAAAAACAGAACTTTTAGGAGCCCACCCCCACCTCTTAAACTAACCACCCAGATCTCAGATGCTGAGTGTTACTCCCTTGCAAGCCATCAACCTGACACCATGAACCATGTGCCTCTGGGAACGAAAGGCAGAGGTGTGCAGTCATGCTGGACTCAGGGTGCTGAACGTGTGTGTGTCTAGCCTCTTCTTTGGCTAGATGAGTGCACCCCAGTGTGTTTTCAGCTAATGCCATCTCAGATAGAACCCACTGTATTTAGTTATGTGCAACCTACAAATTTTGTTCGCTTTTTTTTT